TCTTTCTCTCTCTCTCTCTCTCTCGATCTCTCTCTCGATCTCTCTCTCTCTCTCTCTCGCTCGCTCGCTCTCGCTCTTTCTCTCTCTCCTACTCATGGACACGATCGATCGAAGTCCTTGTTCACAGTGTTTTAACAACAGCAATTATAATACCGAATAGGCTATCGGCCTCAATTCTGCAATCGCCAAAATCATGGGGGCTTTCAAATAAACACGATATTTTTTTTAAGATATTCAAGCGATCGAAATACATATCGTCGGTGTTATTCACAAATTGGCTACATGCAGGAAGGCAATTAATTATACAAGACATAGATGGCTGGTGCCTCTATAAATAAATAATTGATGGTCAAAGTAATTGTATACAGGGAGGACAAAAAATTGATTATTCTTAAAACTTGTGAAAGTTCGTCACTTTGGCCGCCTAAAATTTCTGAACCGCTTAACTTTCGAATTTGACAAAATTATTGGTGATTCAGAATCATTTAATGGGTGCAGGGTTTTATTGAGGAGCCTGAAGTTGTAGTTTAATTTTCAGGGGGAGGGGGGTGTTATTAGTTTCGTTTAAATTTAATCTTTGGAAAGTCCGTCTTCTAAGACGCCATTGTAAACAAGTGTGGGTTTCGTTCGCTAGCCGAGCGCACTGTCCACACCTTTGAAATTCTGGAGTGCACAACCACGAAGCGGAAAAGAGAATCAATTTATAGGCCTACATCTATTATATCTGGCAACTTGGAAACCCATGTGTCACTTTTCCCATAATACTACGACAGCTATAGATTTGAAAGTTGGCTGATTGATTTTTTTGTTCATTGATATGTTTGTCCATTGATATATTATACTAGAAATCATCATTAATATTCATTATCACCCAATTTAATTCACTAGCAGCATATGCCGCCATAGTGGCGAGCTCAAGACGTGAAGTGAAGTAACAATAGGGACCTCCTAACATGTCGATTTCATTTATCAAATACCTCGATTCGTTTATTTAGTCGGTGTACTAACAGATATTATAATGGTTTTGCTTAGAATATTTTCTATCTGTCATTTTGTTCATTTTGAATATGTGCTTTCTATAGGGCTTACTAAGGTTTGAAACATTTCCTAATATTTTGACATTTGAAAGTTTTGCTAGATTTGTCTTTCACTTATTAAAGCGGCTTTTCTGTTTTTCTGCTTACTGTTGTTTAACAAGACTTTAAAAAAAATATTGTTTCCCTTACTCAAGCAGTTATTTCGGGTTATTAAGCTGTTACCTACTTCATAAAAGAGGTCTCCTCTAGTATTGTGACTGAGTATTCTACCTTCAAAATCAATTGTATTTTGTTTCTTTTAAGTCTTAAACCTTTTATTTGTAAGGTGATGTTGTGTTATTATTTTAAAAAACCCACACAACTTTTTAAAGGGCAAACGATCGGTTAATGAGACTCGAAGAGCAAGGGCTGGAGATGAAGGGAAATGACTGAGGAAATGACTTTTGACAACAAGGACATAAAAGTGTTTGTGTGTGTGTGTGTGTTTTGTGTGTGTGTGT